GTGACACTTTGGAACCCCCAAACGATTCAGGTAAGCCCAAATACGTCCCCTCTCCTCCTGTTTCCTGCATTCCCAGCAGCCTCTTGATATTCTCCTTTTTCTCCTCTGGTACATTCTTGCCAAAATAGACGCTTGATTTAGAGTAGTTCACCCTTTGGCCAGAGATTAGACTGTAGTTCTCTAAGATCTGAGTTAGATGGTGAATTTCTGTATCATCCCCTTTGCAATAAAACAAGCTATCGTCTGCGTATAAGAGATGAGACACTGCAGGAGCACTTCTTGCCACTTTGAGACCCGTGATCAGACCACTACCTTCTGCTTTCTTCAACATCTGAACCAATATCTCAGTACAGATAACAAACAAGTATGGCGAGAGTGGATCACCTTGCCGCAAACCTCGAGAAGGCTTTATGTTGCCGTGAGGAGTTCCATTAATGAGAACTTGATACTGCACTGAAGTCACGCATTTCATAATTATACTACACCATCTCTCTGAAAATCCCAACGCCTTCATTGCTTTCTCCAAAAACGGCCACTCCACACGGTCATAAGCCTTAGAGATGTCAGTTTTCACTGCAATAAATTCCTCCGAACATTTGTTTCTTGAGTTCAAAGCATGTAGCAACTCATGTGCTATCAAGATATTGTCAGATATGAGTCTACCCTCCACAAAAGCTGCCTGCGTTTCAGAGATCACCGAAGGCAGTACCTTCTTTAGTCTCTTTGCAAGGATCTTAGTCACAATCTTGATAGCCACGTTACACAAACTAATCGGTCTGAAGTCTTTCATTGCAGTCGCATTTAAGGTCTTGGGGATTAAGCAAATGTTGGTTCTGTTCATTCCTTCCTCAAGCACTTCATTCTGGAAAAGGTTCCGGACCATCTCCATTACTTCTCCACTTGTTACTTCCCAAAATTGTTGGAAGAAGTATCCGTTCATGCCATCAGGACCTGGGCACTTGTTAGGGTTTATATCGAACACTGCTCTTTTGACCTCCTCTGCTGATATCTCCTTAAGAAGCTCCTCATTCTTCTCGCTTGAGACTAGCTTTGGAATCTCATTCCAAACATCCACCTCCAGCCCTACATCTTCCGATGCGAACAACTTCTTAATATAGTCTTCAGCGATTCGGCCAAGATCTTGATCCTCAAACCATTCCTTGCCATCATCGTCAATGAGTTTTTTAATACAATTTCGAGCTCTCCTGTTTTTCGTAACTGCATGAAAGAATCTCGTGTTTCTGTCGCCTGCCTGCAACCAATCCAATCTACTCTTCTGTCGCCAGAATATTTCCTCGTTGTAGTACTCCTCATCTAGCTCTTTTTTTAAACGTGAGAGCTCCTCCGCTTTGCTAGCTACGTTTCTGGTTGCGCTGTCCATTTGATGGTGAAGCTCCTGTATTCTTAAAGCTGAGTTTGGCTTCGCTGTTCTCTTCCATTCTGATATGGATTTCCTGCAGCATGCTATTCTTGCCATAATCCCTCCCTGCCTCGGGCTTTTCTCCTGCCAGCTCTTCACCACTGTCTGTGTAAAACCCTCTCTCTTCACCCATCTCTGGTCATATTTAAATCCTGCTTTCTTCTTCCATAGATGGCCTTCAAACATGGTGAGAATTGGACTGTGATCGGAGCATATCTTCCTCAAGTATTTAGCCTTAGCATAAGGGAACAGGTCGCTCCATCCCTGGTTGACAACAGTTCTGTCGAGCCTACATTGCACCAGCTCCTCATTCCTGATCCCATACCAAGAAAAGTGATACCCGAGATGTCTAATCTCCATCAGGCCACAAGCGTGTAGCATGTTTCTAAATTCTCTGCCTTCCTCCTCCGCTCTTTGGGCCCCACCTACCTTTTCTGACTGGTCCATCAATTCATTAAAGTCGCCAGTCAGAACCCATGGTTCACTTCTGGCTACTCCTATTCGCAAAAGTCGTTCCCAGACCTCATTTCTCTTACTTTTAACAGGTTCTCCATAGACCCCTGTCAAATAGAATATCTTATCCTGCCAGTGAACCTTAGTATCAAACACATTTTTATTAGCTTGCATTACTTCTATTCTACAAGAATCTTTCCATATGATTGCCAAGCCTCCACTTTTGCCAATCGGTTCAACTGTTTTCAAACAATGGTATCCTAGTTTTTCCGTAACTTCTTCTAGGTACCAGCGTTTCATTTTGGTCTCACTGAGGAAAATTATTTCAGGTAGATATTGACCAGATATCTCCTGCAGGTGTCGAACTGTCGGGGTATTCCCCAGCCCCCGACAGTTCCAGCTGAGGATCCTCATATTTGGCTCGAAGGGTTGGTATTAACCATCAACCCTTCTTCCAAAATTTTTCCACTTGTCAATACTATTCTAGGAACAGAATGACTGGGAACGGTGGCTGCCACAAAGGCAGAATGATGCTTGTCCTTTTGCTTCCTCTCGCTTGATCGTTTCTCATTGGAGCCCTGAGTACCAAGTCTCTGAAAAACTGATGGAGATGTCACTACCTCCTTATCTTCTTCCACTCTTGATCTCTTGGAGCTTCTTTCATCACTTTGACTGAGTCTTCGTCGTTTTGCTCCAGAAAGCTCTCCTATGAATCCTTCGGAGGTGGGAGTAGCCGCAGAAATATGTCCTAGCCTCTCAAAAACTGATGGGGATTCTTTACTGCCTTGGCTAGAACCTCCCTTCTTTTCCTTTTCCACTGAAAGCCTAGGAGTTCCTTGACTACCTGGAGACTTTGCCAAGGATCCACCAGTTTTCTCTCGTCTTCCAAGGTTCTCAGGAGCTTCCCCAAGTCTATTGAATACAGAATCTTGGGTCTGGCTCGCATCAGACCCCACTCTCTTATGTCCTCCACTGGACCTTCTTCCACCAGGGGAATAGTCCTGGAGGGACTGAGAGTTGGGAATATCAAGGCTCTTGGAGGAAGCCCCCTTCGTATGATCTGATCCTTGGTTTGATTTCGCTTTCCAGACTTGAGAATTGGTACCAGCAACATTTTTACCCTTCCTATCATACTGTCTCCCTTGTCTCTGCACTCCACTGCTTCCAGAGGGGCCGTCAGATTTGGCACGGGAGGTCTTAGTAGCCTTGCTCTTCTTCTTACCATTTCCCACCTCTTTCACCTCTGATGATCTTATCCCCCTAGCTGCCAATCCTCTTCGAGTATCCTTCTCGAGTTCCAAGTAGTCTCCTTCATCTAAGAGAGGACAGTGTGTTTGGTCATGGGTTAACCGTTTGCAAGTAAAACACACTTTGAGTAACTTTTCATACTCTAGCTCTGTGGGTATCACCTCCCCCGTCTTAAACCTCGCAATCCTTCTGAATTGAAGAGGCTCCTCAGCATTTATCCAGACCAAAGCTCTCACATACTCCACAGACGTTGAGTTCTTAGCGTGTAGTTGGACTTCTTCCACCTTTCCCAGAGGACCCATCAGACATTCTACCGCTTGTTTCTTCAGGAGATGAACCGGTAAACCCCTAATGCGAATCCAGAAGGGTATTCTACACAGGAAGTCAGGTTCTGGGATGGGTTTCCACTGACTAATCGCTACAATCCATCCATTTACAAACCAGGGCCCCTTAGTCAAGACATATCTAAGATCCCTTTCCGACTGAAAAATGAACTGGACTCTGTGCTCTCCTACTCCTCTTCCTCTAACCGAATCCTCCATACCCCAGATCGGGGGGAGCGCTTTCACCAGACCTCCAACCTTGTGTACCGTCGGGTTGAGGCAGCGAACGATGACGCTCAGGGAGTTTTCTTCAATAAGATCTTCAATCTCTAGCTCCGGGATGTCTACAAACTCTCCTTCATCTAGGAGCTCTAACTCCTTGAGTTCCTCTGTCAAGGAGATATCTTTTTTCTTCCTAGGTCGATTCATGTTTCGTCGCTCCAGAAAGCGTTTTCCTTGTTTTTAGATCTGGCGCAACACTGACTGGGAGCCAAAAAACGAAGCCACAAAGGCCTAATGAACAGCTAAGACCGAAGAGAAAATCGGAGAGAGCTGATTGGATACTAGGGTTCAGATCTGGACGAAGCAGGGTCGCCGCCTTTGAGAGAGTTTTTGAACGGAAGCCCTTTGGATCATATCTTAATCTCAAGTCTAGGACCAACCGCTTAATTTAAATTTGTAACAATGTTTGAATTATATAATATTCTGTGTTAGATAATACTATGATTTTACCATATAATGAGCCTATGGAAAATTAAATATTCTTCAAAACTAGGAATTCTTTAAGCATATCACTAACTCCAATCCATGGTCTCCAGATTTTCAAATTGATTTACCACAAATATATAACGTTCTGACAGGATGAGGTAGCAGTTTGGTAAAGACCTTGCGAGCCAATTGTCATGTTTAAGGGTTCGACGTCAGGCGGGGGAACTGCCAATGCTTATCACTAAATGTGGTATTGGGTGTCGGGCCTTGTCCCCAGCCCATGTTAAACCCTCCTGGATGAAGTGAACCGCTGCTTAACCGAACCCAGAGGAATGATCCGCGTAAATGGGGAACTTTGGATTATAAAAAAAAAAATATATATATATATATATATATATAAGGTTCTGTTTATAGTAAGTAGTATTTACGGTTGACGTGATAGTTCGTAACTCTGTAAACAAGCACAAGAGTTACGAAAAAAAGAAGGGTGAAAAATTCGCTGCTGGGCTTTGAAAACCCTTAGTATGAAAAGCCCATTAACAAAAAAAAAAAAAGAAAAACCAAAATAAGAGGAAACGTGTCTTTACTGTTGACGACGGGGATAGTCTCAATTCTTTACGAGGAGAGCCTCCCTTAAGCATAACCTCTCCCTTCCTCTTCGATTTCAGATCGTCTCCCTCAAATTCACCGTATAGATCCCATCGGATTTGTACTTGAACGTCTCAGTGAACGTAAATCTGGTGGGCTTCTATCTCTGAGTCGTCGTTGTTTTTCATCTACATGCAGTTTTGGGGGTAGTACGTGCGATTTAAACCGAATAGTGTTCGTGTGGAGCAATGGAAGGAGAAATGGTGAGTAATAAGGTGAAGAGGGATGCGGTGGTAGCATGCATGACTTGTCCTCTCTGCGACAATCTCCTCCGTGACGCCACCACTATCTCCGAGTGCCTTCACACCTGTTAGTTCTCCCTTTTCGATTTACGTTTGAATTCGTAGCTGCTGAGTTTCCATCTTTGCTTGATTGATTCTCAAAATCCGTAATCTTTGTTTTACTTTAGCTAGCAAGAACCTCCCTTTGCTCGTCTGTTAAAGTTAGTTGTTTTTTTGAAATTTGATGTGTGTGTGTGTTTCTTGGTCAACGATTGTGGGTTGGTCAACTCACGTCATTGCAGCTGCATGTTGTTTGTTAGGTCTCACCTCACCTGCTTTGTGTTATATCCCAAAGTTTAAAATTTTTGTTTTGGTGAATTCGAGTAACTAGTAGTTTGTGTTACGGCTTCTCTTTACTTCTTCAAGATTTTGTACAATTTAAGGTAAGTTAGATATCTATATATCTCTGTTTGGGAGATCTCACTGGCCTTTCGTTGTATTTAATAATATATTAGCCATCTTTCTCCATGAGATTCTGAACTAGTATCTACTGCATTCCATGTACAATTCCAAACTTATACATAACTAGCTCTCCCGTTACTCTGTTTACTGCTATTGCCGAAACCAATAAATATACGCAGTCTGTCATTCTGTTACTGTGGGGGTTTAACTAAATATACACATGTAAGGTGAATCTGATTTGTTATGCTCGTTTTTGTCTGATCAAGATAAGTAAATGTTAACAGTTGCGATTCCATATGCCCAAACTCAGCTATTTCCCCTTTAATAATCATCTGGATGTTTCTGTCAGTTTAGAGTAGAATGTTTGCAATGCTCTGCAGAATCTGTTTATGACACTACCACAATTAATTATTCTCATTGTATTTTCGGTTTGGTTCCTCGGGACAAAAACAAGCTGTTTTTACTGTTAATTGTGTGTTTGATATTATACCATCTCGTTTCCTTAGTTGTTAACTATCTAAGTGCTTGATTTAAACCATACTGGACAAAGTAGATCAACCACTAGTCTACAATCTCTATAACTGCTATTACATGATGCAGTGGAAGCCATACAAATTATCAGTACTGCTATATAGGACTCAGAAAATATAGTCTTTCACCTAATAAGTTTTAAACTTGGCAGCCAGCCATCTTGCTTAAACGCCGATACTTAATGTAGTTGATACAAACCAATTTTTTTCTTATTTCCCAGTTACTATCTATCTAGTGAGATAAGTTATTATATCACTTTTATGCAGTTTGTAGAAAATGCATCTATGAGAAAATCACAGAGGATGAGATAGAATGCTGTCCAGTATGTGATATTGACCTCGGGGGTGCCCCGCTGGAGAAACTAAGGTAGGTTCTTCTTCTCCTTTATTTTTATACCACAATTCACCCATGAGACTTGGTTTAGCTGTGATTCCTTCTTTTTATACTCGTACCGTAGACTATTATAAACCGTTTTGGCTTTTAATGTTGATGAAACAAATATGCTAAAAAAGTCATACACGATTATACTAGAATGTGCCATATATGGAACGTTTTCTATAAGTTGTGTGGTATAATGTTAATCAAAGAAAAACGATTTGATTCAGAAGCACATACAACCTGAATATACTGATTAGCTTTTGCTGACATCAACTATTTTTAGTGAGAACCAGAATCAATTCTCGCTAGCACTATCTCTCCCTTAAGAGACTAGTGGTTATATAACTGTACAAGCTTTTGTTGGTGGTGAACTCATGCATTCGCTAAGGAACCAATCTTATTCACATACTTTAGGCCCGACCACATTTTGCAAGACTTGAGGGCTAAAATATTTACTCCAAAACGAAAGAGAGAGAGGGCGCCTGAAGTTGTGTCCTCGATCACATTACCTGCAAGGAGGAAAGAGAGGTCTATCTCGTCTTTGGTGGTAAGCACACCCAGGGTTTCAGCGCAATCTGGTACAACAGGGAAGAGAACAAAATCTCTCATGAGGAAAGATGTGCGTGGTAGTGGTTCATTCACTAAGAGAAGTGTGAAGAAGGAGGAAGAATTTGGAGATGATCATACAGAGAGTGAAAGCTCGCCAGAAACACTTAAAGATTTTACTCAGAATAAGAGGCAGGTAAAGAAGGTGATTACTCTCTTTAGCTTTGTGTCTCTTTATTTTGGTATACTATGGAAAGTACTTTGTGCATTTTCGCTTCAAATAGTGATCTTTTCCCGGAGTAGATATCATCAAGCTTATGTAATATTTTGAAATTATAGCTTGAGAGAGAGAGAGGGAGATGTTCGTATGGCAAACATTCCATGGTCGATTTTGAGACTAAGTCCAAACACAACCTTATGACTGATCATGATCTGCAGAGAGTTCCTCATGCATTTATTTATGTTTTTATTTTCTTGCAGTCTTCACATGCAGAGCCTAGCCAGTCCCTCTCTAATCGAAGAAACAAGGATGTTGCTGAACCTTGGGATTCCAAATTAAATCTCTGGAAACCTTTAAATTTTCTTGTGGATGTGGCAAACGGAACAAAGCCCTCAAATTCTGAGCATGGAAATGCATCTCACACTGATGTTCAGGGTAATAAAACCAAAACAAAGGAGTATAAGCGAAAATGTAAACTCGAGGAAGAGATCAGCAATAATGGTGATCCTACAACATCAGAAACTGCTACGCTTAAAAGAACGCGTAGGACTCGCCGTAAAAGGTCATCCGCTTTTGGTGATTCAAGAATTCCACCACTACCAGATACAGAAAGCCTGAAACAGGAGAGGAGAAAGGGTCCGATTTGGTTCTCACTTGTAGCTTCAAATAATCAGTGAGATTCTTGCTCTGTATCTAAGTTTTTTTAACGATATTCAAGATTTTCTTTGACTTTTCAATTATATTTGTCTTGTTATCGTGACAAGCCTTACTGGTTTCAGGGAAGGAGAAACATCACTGCCTCAGATTCCGGCAAACTACTTGAGAATAAGGTACGTATTAATGTTATTTGTATATCTGTGGTATACATTTCTCAGTAGAGCCTTCTATTTCTTTGTGCTGGATTGTGACTGTGTAATTTCCTGTTTGGAAGATACCGTGCAAGAGTTGATCTTCTGTCTCATTATATTACAGGGATGGAAATATTCCAGTTTCGTTTATCCAAAAGTACCTCATGAGGAAGCTTGATCTCAAGAGTGAAACTGAGGTAAGCAACCTTGTTTGTGCAGTTGCAACTTTACTCTTTCTAGCTTGTATCTACTTTGTTCTAAGATGACCCTAGTTCTATAGATCGAATCAATACCTTGAAATCTTGATGACTCACAAGCCACAAGTATAGCGTGATAGGGGAACAATCCTTTTGAGATCATGGCTATGGGTCTCACCGCTCCCTACAATTTTGATTAACTGAGATCCTTGAACTAAAAACCAACTCTCCCTTTTGTCCACTTGTTTATGTGTTATGACAGGTAGAGATAAGATGTATGGGAGAAGCAGTGATCCCAACGTTGGAGCTTCACAGCTTAGTGGAGCTATGGTTGGAAACAACTTCTAGGCATGAAAGAGTGGCTGCAACTATAGGTTCCTCTGCAAAGGAATTTGTAATGGTGCTAGCTTATGCTCGGAAGGTACCTGAGGGCAACAACTAAAAGAAAGTGTTTAATACTCATCTGCAGAAGAAACAAGAATTAATCTTCTGCCTCTACATTGAATCTTCCCTAGACCACCGAGAGCAAGCAGTGAAGAGCAGAAGCAGTGGAATGTGTTATGTAGTTTAGTAATGAAATATATATTTAAAAAAAAATCTGAAAATGAATGATCGGTGAGATAGACACTGTGTTGTCGAAGGATATTCAAGATTTGCTTCTTTTTTAAATGTGTCTTTTTGGACATTTGAATGTCTAATAGATAGGATAATGTTGTCATTTATATGAAATGTTTTTCCTTTGTTTGGACTAAATGAGATGTACACTGAATTATTGTCATTTGAATGTATGATAGGATAGGATAATGTTGTTCCTTTGTTCGGACTAAATGAGATGTACACTGAATTATTGTGAATATATTGAGAAGTCAACCCAAAATGGCCTTAAGAGAGTTTGCAATTTTAGTTTTGAAACTTCTATTATTTATTTTAACAAACCAAAGTTGAAAAAAGTAGCTTTGTATTAGTCTTTGGGGAAGAAAGTGTAAGATCTGTATTCAACCATTTCACTAGAGCTGTATTAATATTTAATACTGAACAATAATTACCAATTCACCTTAGCAAAATAGCAAAGAAACCGTTAGTAATATTTTTCTCATAATCTATTTAAATTGTATGCTAAACTCATCATTTGATTTCTACCCGTATGGAGAAAGACATGTGATAAAATAAAGTAACCGTTATAAACGCAGAAGAAAAGAAGGTTACTTTTGATTCCACTTTTTTGGTTTTACTTACAAAAAAGTAAACTCAAAAACTTGGAATTAAACGATCTTAAATTCCACTTTATTCAAAACTTTGTATGAAAATGCAGCGATGACCAAACTATGCATGCAAAATATCCTTAAGCTAAATTTGATTTTAATAATTCATGTAGTGGAGTGGAGTTTGATTATGCTTTGCTTGGCGTTTAGTATAATTAATTAAAAACCAAAAACAAACCAAAACCTCACATAAATTAAGGTCTTCGAATGGGACCCACCTCTGAAACCAGACGCCGGTTTCGTCCTTTTTTTCTTTATCTCTCTCACTTTGCTTTTTTCCCAGAATAAAGTTTGTCTTTTTCTTTTTAAAATGATTTCTTCACAGTGGTTTTTGGGGTAAAATCACAATATTAAAAAAAAAACAGAGGGATGTGGTTGAGTGATTGCAGAAGCTACAGTGAGAGAGTGTCAAAAAAGTCTCCTCTTTCACACCTTTCGTTTTCTTGAACCTCTTTAAAAAAGAAGATGGTGGAGGAATCTTGAGTTTGACAACTCATTACCCTCTTTTAACCTTGCAAGGAACCTCCGTCTTTGCTTTCATCATTCTCTCTCTCTCACTTCCGTTTGATTCTCCTTAAGCTTATATATTTTCGTCTTCAAGCTTAAGAAAGGCAACTTCTTTCTTTTGTCCCCTGTGAAGATGTGATTGTGTAAAAACGGAAACTTTACTATCTGGGTCTTTCCTATTTTTGGTATCTAATTAGTGATTTAGGTTATTGGGAGTTTTATTTAGGGTTGTGTTTAACTTTTTAAGACATGGAGGAGATAGAAGGAGCCAACAGAGCAGCTGTAGAGTCTTGTCATAGAGTTCTTAACCTCTTATGTACACCACATCAACAAAAGCATGGGTACGATGTCAGTTTAGTGTCTGAAGCTAGAGAAGCTGTGTTTAGGTTCAAGAGAGTGTCGACTCTGTTAAGTACTAGTGTGGGTCATGCTAGGTTTAGAAGAGCCAAAGCATCTCAGTCCCATTTTTCTCAAAGCATCTTCCTTGATCCTGTTCACCAAAGAACAGAACTTCCACTATCTCAGACAGCACCGGTGATCCGGTCTGGTTTGCATGATTTGAGCACTGATTCCCTCACTTTAGGGACCAGGTCTTATAGTTCAAACTCAAATGCAAAAACGCCTATTCTTCAGCTTAGCCAAGCAAGGCCTTCTTCAAATTATCAGAATATGTTTCTTGAACATCAACAGCAACAGAAGTTACATGAACGCTTACAGGCTCACCATCATCATCAGCAGCAACAACAGCAACAACAGAAACTTCAAGCTGAGATGATGCTAAGGAAGTGCAACGGCGGTATAAGTCTGAGTTTTGATAACTCAAGTTGTACTCAAACCATGTCATCCACTAGGTCTTTTGTTTCATCCCTAAGCATAGATGGGAGTGTTGCTAATGTAGAAGGAAGAAACTCCTTTCATTTGATAGGGGTTCCGAGTTCAACCGATCAGAGTTCACAACACTCTAAGAGAAGATGTCTCATGAAAGGAGAAGGACAACACTCTAGCAGATGTCACTGCTCTAAGAAGAGGTTATTTGTTTATTCTCTTAAAATTATCATTTCACAGCTTTTCTTAATGAAGATTGTGCATTGGAAATTGACAGGAAACATAGGGTTAGGAGATCGATCAGAGTGCCTGCTATAAGTAACAAGGTTGCAGATATCCCTCCTGATGATTATTCGTGGCGAAAATATGGTCAGAAACCCATCAAGGGCTCTCCTTATCCCAGGTAATACACACTTCTTGATCACTCTCTTTTGATTGATGAACTTATACTTGACAGAAGAACAAAACAAAAAGTTTTTGAGTGTTTTTGAGAAGTGTTTATGTTGACATCATTATATTGTGTATGCAGGGGATACTACAAATGCAGTAGCATGAGAGGTTGTCCAGCGAGGAAGCACGTTGAGAGATGCTTGGAAGATCCTGCAATGCTTATTGTTACTTATGAAGCAGAGCATAGCCATCCAAAATTGCCATCTCAAACTGTGACAACTTAACTTTCAATGTATCCTTTGTGTGCTTTGCTCCATTATTGTGTGATATATGATTCAGAGGAGCAGTGCCTTTGTTTTGGGGGTGGGGGGTTTACTGCAATAGTTGTTGGGCTTGGGTTTAGGGGTGGGTAAAAATTGTAGGATTTGTCAAGACTCGTTTCTCAAGTTTATTATTGCTACTTAATGATTCCATGTGTTTCTTTTACATAGTACAAAATAATTAGATTCAGTAGTGTTACGAAATGGTAGTTCGGCTTAATGATTCATAGAACCCATAATTCGAACAAACCATTTTGCAAAGTAGCAGGCATTAACATTTGAAATTATACAGTTTCAAGGTGACTCTTTGATATCATGGAAGTCAAAGAAATAATCTACAGTTTCGTGTAGTTCAACACAAGTTGAATATATGATTATGGTTATGGCTACAAAGGAAATGATTAGTTATCTATAATTCTTCAAATACGTGGGATTCCTTTCACTCCTCTGACTACTCTATACTGTGGTAATAATGTTTTGTGCATATCCAGAAATTCAGTCTTTGACGAGACACAAAATATATTGAGTTTGACTGTCATAAAGTTAGTGAGATGATTTAATTTGGTTTTCTCAAGACTAGGTATGTTCGGACAGGTCAATAGTTGGCTGATGAGCTGACGAAATCTTTATATTTGAGTTCCTTTCACAGTTGTATAGGCAAGATGGGTGTTCACATTCACAACATCTTCACACCTTCATCTTGAGGGAGAATATGAAATGGTATAGTCTGTAGTATAAGATCATATTAGTCCAGTTTATTTGTATAGTAAAATTAGATCGGTGTAGTTGGTTTGGATTACCAAAAGGTAAAGTGTATATAAACCTGGATTTGTATTTTCTTCTCAATTGAGAAAGTAGTAACAGAGTTTTTCATTTCTTTACTTCAATGGATTATGTTATCAATGCAAAAGACGTTCTAGGTCAAGTGGATTCAAAGTACTTATCTCCATCTAAGCCTTATTCTTGAGATAAAATAAATATTCATGAAGTTGAGGGACATGTATGTGGAGAAAATGCTCAAGGATAGATTAATGATTGCAATACATTTTCATACAATCCATCGAACTCAAGCCACTTGATCAAAGAGAACTGATTGTTACTTGGCGTTCTTATTTTATATTATCTTTGACGTCTAAAGCTCTAGATGTATGGGCTTTAATCCAAGGTCGGTTTTGTATACAATGGAAGTCAATAAAGGTAAAACAATGTTATTTTGATTCGCTAGTTGGGAAAGTTTGTTAAGAAAACAAAAAGAGAGAAATCACAGGTCGCAAATACTGAATATTATTGAGCATGAACTAATTAGAATAGCTTAAAACATTCAGCAAAGTTAAGTCAGCCATTCATGTGTGAAGAAGTACGAAAGTTTCTTAGTGAAAGCACTTGGACGCTAATTAAAACAGCTTGTAAGAAAAGTGGGATAGTATAAAGGCATATAAACTTTGTATGCTACATTTATTATGTTATGAATTATTGATCTTTTTAACACATACTTATAATTTGATCATCAAATTAGATTTCTCATAGGCACTTACACCAATTTTTGACCTCTTTGCCCAAAGCTAGAATATTTCCATTGTATGGAGAGTCAACTATACCACAATGGCACAATCTTGTTGCATTACTCCACAATTAAAGAATAAGGATTATTGTCTCCTTCATCTTTCTTTTTAAATGAATTTCTAGAATCTCGTTGAAATCGTCCACTCGGAATCATCATCTAAAGTAGGGGTGGGCGCGGATCGGATATCCGGATTTTTAAAGGTATTTGTGATTTGCTTCGAATGTACGGATATCTAATTTTGGTATTTGCTTTGCTTCGGAAAAATACGGATATCCGGAAAAACGGATATCCGGAAAATAAGTAAATATTTGCGGATATTTGCGAATATTTACGGATATCTAATCCATATTGATTAATACAACTAATCTTAAAATTTTGATATAAATTTGCTTTGCAAAAATATTTTTTTTGCGTCATATATAAAATAAAAATTAAAAGAACTAGTGAATTTACACATTTTGTAATTTTTGAAGTTTAAGTTGCAATTATAATAACACAAAAGTTAAGAACAAAAAATATAATTGTCATAATTGTTTTTTTTTATGTAGTACATTTATATAAGTAATAATGTGAATATAATTGTTCAAAATCATGTGTTAGAATAATAATTTTATAATTTTATACATTTAAAATTTTAAATATAATCGATATATTTATATATTTCCGGATCGGATCGGATATCCGCTTCCCAAAATTTTAATATTTGTGATTTGCTTCGACTTTAACGGATATTGATTTTTAGTATTTGCTTTGATTCGGAAGTTTACGAATATCCGGAATTTTCGGATCGAATCGAAACGAATAACGAATAGAATCAAATTTAACGGATAAAATGCCCAGCCCTAATCTAAAGCATGCATAGTACTAATTCAAGATATAAGATCGTGTCATTTTATTCGTATGAGTGAGTCAGTGGCATTACAAATTGGGAATATAATGGTACAAATTTGAGTTGAATCCATTATTATTATTTTGGTATTGTTTCAATTTTTAGCCATATATGATAAAACTTGTTTATGTATTAGAAAAAGAATATATAGGACTATTAATGCCAAAAGAGTATATAGACACATATATCTTCCTCATTATTCACTTCTTTTTGAAATATAAAATACTTGATACTTTATTTTACATTAGTCATATATGCAAATAATATCCATAATTTATGTTATTAGGTGAAATCTGGTTCAAGTAATATCTAGCAATTTTTTTCTTTATGAGGTTTTGGCGTTTGCACTATGCATAAATGACGTGTTTGAATGGCCAGATGGATGGTCGCAACTAACAAGTATCTCGAATAATTAAAAATTTAAGACTATAGATAAGGTAAAGTTTAATTCTTTCAAGATTATTAGCATATGTAGATGATACCAAAAAAAGTTATTACTTTTATTTTAAGAGTATTCGCATATGCAGATGATACACCAGAAAAGGAATCAGTTAAATATTAGGGGCAGATCTTTCGTAAGCAATTCCGGTATATCCATATACTGAAAACATATTGATTTTTGTATCAACCATTCATTAGCTTATTACTAAAACCATAGCGGAAAAGTTCATTGTGACTATGAAATTGCTTGACTGATAAAGTGATAATGGTTATACTAGTAATCTAGACTCTATCTAAGATATATGAATTTACAAACTTTAGACTTTAGAGTATCTTGAAACCAACATTAGCTTCAATTGGTAATCGTAAAATGTAACTGATTCGAAATTAAACCATAAGAACGCACTTAATATTTGAAGGAAAGATTAGTGTAACACGTTCACTCTCACGATATTAATGCTCCTGTCAAAGCGAGATTAAAGGTTCCTATCTTACTTTAGACGAATATATGTTGATGGCTTTTACTGGATTTATAAAATAAAATATAGAAAAAGAAACCCTAATTACTAATTTCATTTTGAATATAATTTTCGGAACATTTAATTACCCCCGGATCTTATATGGAAACATATTCCATTATTCACTTTAGTTCGTTACAACCATGAGAAGTTTTCAAACCTGGTATTAATATTCCAAATTCCAATATAGGACTATGTTGCTATGTGTTAAATGTAAAAGTATAGAAATATAAGATCTGAATTTCGTATTCATAATCAAGATTCATGTTTGCTAATGAACATCGTACTCTGTTGATGATAAAAACTACTAAGCTAGATGCATAGTTGCATACATCGTCGTTATTGTCAAACTATGCATATATGTAAGTATTATAAATTTTTAACTTTTTTTTTATAATAAAAATATCTAGCGAATCATGACACGATAATATGAATTTGAAATATGAAAATGAAACCATTTCATAAACCCCTGTATTGTTTTAGTTGAGACTCTTTCAAAGATAGACACATCACACATGCATCAAAGTTGTGTGGCACCATACACTAGAAAATGGTCATCTTTAGTCTTCTTCAACAGCATGTTTCTCTACCCAAAAATGATCCGATTCCAACAAATCTTAGTTCATTACACTCCTTGATTAGTCTAGTTTCCAACGAATACAAACATTCACAATCTCCCCCAAAGCATTCTCCAGAAAACCCAATATACCTTAATACTATCAAAACAAACCATAGCTTCGACCAACCTTGATTCAAAACAAATTTTCTCACCCTACAATAAACCATTTCAAACGTTTAAATATTCAAAGAAACCTTACAGAATTCTCTACAGTCCAGAGAAAACAAAATTAAATTCCATCAAGTACAACTAAAGTTATGATCAATTTCCCCAAGGCTAAAAGCACACCAAAACAAACCCGAAACCCACCTATCCACATCTAATCAACCCCTCCTTCCTCATTAAAAACATTCTCAACCCTCATCATCTCCACAACCGTCGATATAACCTTAAATCCAACGGACGAAATTCAAACATGAGAAAGGATACCACCGATCCGAGTACTCACCCTATCAACCAATCAAAATCAAGATAAAAAACCTCTTGTCTCTCCATTTCACATCTGACTATATAAACATTTCTCGCAGCTCTCATCTTCTCCATCAAAAAACAAAAAAAAAAACTTTCAAAAAATCCCTAACAAAAAAAAAATGTCGACGGAGGAAGAGCCCAAGGTCGTCGAGTCAGGAGACGCCGCCGCCGAAGCGACGGAGAAGAAAACGCCGGCGAAGGGGAAGAAGACGAAGGAAGCTAAACCGAAGAAGAAGGCTGCTGCTCCGAGGAAGAGAACCACTTCATCTCATCCTCCTTACGAAGAGGTATTCAATTCCCGATCTGATTAGGTTATTTATAATCTAATTTACGAATTTGATTTTAATTTGTGTAGATGATAAAAGATGCGATCGTGACGTTGAAGGAGAGAACCGGATCTAGCCAATACGCGATTCAGAAGTTCATAGAGGAGAAACAGAAGTCGTCGCTTCCTCCTACTTTCAGGAAGCTTCTTCTCGTTAATCTCAAGAGACTCGTCGCTTCCGGGAAGCTCGTTAAAGTCAAAGCCTCTTTCAAGATTCCTTCTGGTTCCGCTAGTAAACCGGTTTCTGCTCCTGCTAAGAAGAAGATAACGAAACCGGTTGTTAAGAAGAAACCGGTTACTGCTTCCGCTACTAAAACTAAACCGAAGAGTAAAGCTGCTTCTCCTAAGGCCAAACCAGCTAAGAAACCTGCTGCTGCGAAGCCTAAGGCTAAGGCGAAGGCAACGAGTACTAAAGCTGTTGCTGCGAAGACGAAGACGAAGAGTGTAGCTGCGGTTTCGAAGACGAAGGCTGTTGCGGCGAAGCCTAAGGCGAAGGAGAGGCCTGCGAAAGCTTCGAGGACTTCGAGTAGGACGTCTCCAGGGAAGAAGAAGGCGGCTGCTCCTGCTAAGAAAGCTGCGCCTGCTAAGAAGGCAGCGCCGGTTAAGAAAGCAGCTGCTGTAACTAAGAAGGCTGCTGCGGCGAAGGGTGTGAAGGTGAAGTCTCCGGCGAAGAGGGCTTCGACGAGGAAGAAGTGAGGGAGATTTGAGGGTTTAGGATTTGAATTACATGATGGGTAGCTTCTTCTCTTAGGGTTTTAAGGCTTTTGTATAATTGAATCGTCTTTGAAGGGGGGCTTGTTCTTTTTTTCTTTTTTTCTTTTTTTTTTTAAAAACCAAAGTTTATGTTTTTTTTTTCCTTTGTCTGGTTTCGTCTCGAGACCCTTTTATTGTAATTCTTCGTTTGTTTGGAAATTCAATAGCTATATGTGATGGTTTGCAAAGATGTTTGTTCTGCATTGTATCAATGTCTTTTAATTAGATTCAGTATCTTTCTTGTTTTATAGTCTACTGAGAGAGATGCAGAGAACAAACTGATCTCTCTCTCAATGAGTCAAGAGCAACAAACTTAGAAACGTTAAGGTGTGGTTCCATGTTTTGGCGTTGTTTGTGCAATTCCTGTGATTAGGTTTTGTGTCATAAGTAGAGACCAAGTCAGGCGTTGACCATTCTTTTTTGGTTTAGAGAGTTTCTGCTAGGTTTAATGTTCCTCTGCCTGAATTAGTTCTTGAATGAATATAAGGCAATGTATTAACATGTTAAGTAGATTCAGTTTCTTTCTTAGTTCTGCACTTCATGTTCTTGTTTCATTGCTCAATGCTCATGAGAGAAATGGAGATAACATACAATGTTTTGAAGGGACATTTCTCTCTTAAGAAGAACAAGCTTAGCAAAGAAATAACAGACAATGCTTTGAAGGAACCGATCCCTCTTAAGAACAATAAGCTTGGCAAAAGAAATGGAGATAACATACTATGTTTTGAAGGAACTGATCTCTCTCTTGACAACAACAAGCTTAGCAAAGTTAAGGTGAGGCTCATACTTTTTCCTCTGAATCATTTGATGTATTTGCTACCTTAAAACATCTCTTACATTCAATGTTTTTGGTATTGTTTGTGCAAATTCTCTTTGGTTTCTGATATTAAGTTTTCAGATATAAGTAGATAGCAAGTTAAATAATTGCCAATTCTCTTGTGTTTGATCTTTAAAGGAGTGTTACATGAAACGAATTTGTTTGACATACCAGGAAACAAAGCTAAGAAAAAAACTGCTGCACTTCGCTATCTTCCTCACCTTGGTGATTCTTTTTGGAGATACTGTTTGAATCTTTCCACTTTCTGAATTGAGTATTTGAGCTCCTGTTGAACATTAAACCTGGAAGGAGAAAGAACAATGTCTTTCCATATTGATCCAGTTTCACAAGCAGGGTTTGGTCTACTATACAGCTCATAAATTGATTCTGCATCCTCGTTTAACCTCCCTACATTCTTCAAACAGTCTATCTCATCTGGATCCACTAGCAACGTCTTCTCCTTCTCTTTCCACGCTATCATCTGCACATAACCACAACATTGATTCCCACTTTCATTACTTAAACCATTTCAGAGTTTTTTTTTTTGCGTCCTACCTTTGGAGAACCTTCAAGAGCATTGGTGCAGTAAAGCCTTGCATTGTCAACTAAGTTGCAATACGTAAGAAACGCACCAGCAAACCTCTTGTGAGATCTCAGCTGTGATCTCACCCTCACTGCTCTTCTACACATTATCGCTCTCCTGCATATAAACATGGTTAAACCAAAACCTTGTGTTAAGACAAACACACACTGGTTGAGAACACACTCTCACCTAATGCCTCGAATCACAGCTAAGTACGCATCACAGACAATGCCAACTAACTCTATCCTGTATGGCTTTCTCTCTCTCCCATCTTCTTGCAGCTGTTGTCTCTCGCCTATGCGTTCCCAGTAGTTCTCTATAACATCTCCGTTTTCACCAACCTTGTAGCCTGCTCCCATTCTGTAACGATGGCGATGCACATTCCTCGCCATGGTTATGGTTTGGACTACAAATGGTACCCAAGAGAGTGTTCCATCCATTATCACATCTCTCCCTTCGTTGAGAGCTGTAACGAGGAGAGATGATGCTGCATCTGTTGATGATTGGTGAACCTGTTTTTACAAGGGTTTCATAACATTTTCTAGATATTTGAATATCAACAAAAGGCTCTTCAGTTTGTTGCTAACTACTTAGAAAGAAAAAGCCTTACAAATTCAGCAGTCTTGACCATATCAACATGGCCTCTAGAGCTTAGAGCTCTGTATATAACATCAGATTCTTTGAAAGCATCAGCTTCAATAACCACAGCATCTGCTCCTGCCCAAAATGGCCTGATCCAAAAGCACACAAGCATATACAGTCCAAATGCATAAGAAAAAAAAAGAGCAAGTGGACTTATAAATTTGAATCTCTCTTTACTTACTCTTTGAGAATCTCTTTAAGGACAGTGCTTTTTCCTGCACCCATACCACCACCCATGAGGAGTAGAACCGGGCTTCTGTCTTTGTGTGCAACTGGAGCCATCACTTCTGTACATTCTGAGTCATCAACAGATGCAATCCCCATTGCTTTCATTTCCTCTACCAATGTGTTGAACACTCTTGCCACTTTTAGATTTTTAGTCACCCTCTCAAACCTCTGTTCCCTATATATACCAACCAAGCAACAATCACTTAGGAAAACTCACCAAAAAAGAAGGATTATTTTATGTTTGTTTAGGCTATCACCTGGTTGCTGCCATGACAATGTGCTTGAGCTTCTTCTTGGGCTCAGCATCGGCGCTAAGTATCTGAAACAAACCCATATGATGTTTTCGGTCAACTAATTATGATGTTTTTGGTCAACTAATTATGAAAGTTAACCTGACTGATCATGAGATCGGCATGGCTCCAGTGGTAAGCAAAGTAACTGAGAATACATCTCTCAAACTCCTCAACGAGCTTAATGAAGAGAGTATCAGCATCAGGCTCTTCAGAGAAGAAGCTGTAGATGTCTTCCTCGCAGCAACCTGATTTTCTTATGTACTCACTAGCTAATTTGCAGAGATGAGGACATTCTCTCCTGTCCTTGAATCCCATCTGCCTCACTACAAACAACATTTTCCTTATAACGCATCAAGATCTGTAGATCATTTATAGAGAGATTTAAGAAGAGGATATGTGTAGATTGATTTATACCAACGTAGTGAGAGAATCTCTCAAGCTTCTCATGGCCTTTGTGTTTGTGAGACACTCTGAGACGAGGGATGAGCTTGGAGTAACGAAGCTTCCTTAGACGGTAAAGCAGTGAGACGGCTAAGAGCACGCCTATGGTTGAGATTAAGAAAATCTGTGTGAAGGTCGTCGTGTTGCTGGTAAAATCTGGAACACACATTGTGTTTGGGGATTCATCAAGAGACATTAAGAGATTAAAGATTGGTAATACTCTAAGACTGGAACCATTGTTGAGTTTGTTTTCTGTTACGAGACAATACATCTGCTCTCTCCACGTGTACACTTCACTGTACTAAAATAGCTTCAAGCCCTATTACTCCGGATGTTTCTTGTGGTTTTGACCATTTAGCTTTATTTTGTGTTTGCAATCTTATTCTCCAACTATGTAAGTTACGTGTCTCGCAAGGTTCCAGAAACTCTTTTTCTCAAAGCTATATAACATAAGAAATATAAGTTGTCTCTTAAAGATGTTAAGTTGATTGTCACTGTAAAATTGAGTTTAAGAAAGGCTTTGCAAAGAATGTTTTAAACCTATAAAAAAAAAAAATCTAAAAGAGAGATCATAGGCTTGTTTTGTATTATGTAGGAGCTGTGCAAGTTGTTCTGAAATGGCCAGGCTGATTACAGCGACTACATCGAACCGCACGCTTTTGACGTCCACGGTCCTCTCCTTGAACTCTCCTCTTCCTTGGCCGTGGCTGTTGTCTCAACTCCCTCGGTGGTGTTATCATCAAAACCTCATTATCACCATCCTCACCACTTTCTGTTTTCTTCCACATGGTCTTGTCTGGAACTGGATGTATGGTTTCTTCATAAGTTCTCCTGTAATTCGCCACAGTGAAACAACTCTCCGCGAACCTGGAAACGTTCTGTCTGCAATAGAGTAGCGCTGCAGCTGCGTGGCTACAAGGCAACCCGTATATATCCCATCCACGGCACATACAAGAACGGCATCTGATATCCACTAACAATGTTGCTTCACCAGTATTGACCTCGAACTGTGCTTCGTTTGCTTTGTGAACTTGGTACGCACGAGATTGTTCTACAGCCTCAAGGACTTGCCTCTCAGCAGATGGAACTAGTATACTAGTCCAATGCCTGCTTGTTTCACGGCGTTCAGTGAACAAAGTCATCAGCTGGCGACGGATACTCTCCATCATCTGGATTATAGGAAGACCTGATGCTTCTTGAATCCAACCGTTGATTGACTCGGTAACGTTTGCATTTAAATGTCCAAACCTCGTTCCTTCAAAGCAGTATGTGGTCCATAAAAAAGGAGGGATGTTACTGACCCACATGGCAGCTTCTTGGGATCTCTGATACATCTCCTTAACTTTTGCGTCAAACTCAAACTCTGTTGTACACTGCGCTGCTTCCCAAAAGAGGTTTACGAGAACAGAGTCGTTGTTGAACCCCTTAAGGAGGAAGGATTCCGTGAGCTGATGGATACAGAAGCCATGAAACGCCGTTGGGAAATTAGCTTCTACTCCATCAACAAGGGGTCCCTCTCTACTAGATAAAATCGTCAGTTTCGGCATGTTCTCTGTGTTCACTTCAAGCAGTTGACGCAGCTCTGAGAGGAACCAGTGCCAGTTACCATCATTCTCTTCACAAACAATCGCGAAAGCCAGAGGAAATATTCCTCCATCTCCATCAAACGCAGTTGCAAGCAGCAGTGTCCCAAGATATTTAGTCTTCAAAACAATCTTGTTCAATGTAATAAGAGGACGACAAGCGTTGAGAAAACCAGAGATCGATGCATGGAAAGAAATGAATAACTGTTGAAAACTCCCATCATCAGGGCTACCATTAACCAAAGCGATGCTCCCAGGGTTTGCTCTTCTAACTTCAACACAATACTGAGGAAGAAGACGGTAATCTTCTTCGAACGATCCCCTGACAGTAGCCATCACACGCTCTTTCCCCCTCCATGCTTGCTTATACGACAATGTAATCCCATGGACTTGATGAATCTCCTCAAGAATCTCCTTAGGTTTGCAATGAGGATTCTCTCTTAACCTCTCTTTCACAGCCTCAGCAACCCACTCAACTGAAGCCTGATGGTGACCAAGGTGTAAAATACCACCACACGTGTGATTCCCATGAATAGTCCTTA